CCCCCCCCCAAACCTTGAGCTCTCCCCCGCCCAGGGGCAGGCTGGGCCAGTGCGGTGCCTGCCAAGACTCTGTCTAGTGACACCTTCAGGACCTCCTCAAAAAGCGAGGGGAAACGTCAGTGAGAAGTACCCCAGGCCACCTGCCCTTTGGTGGGACAGTCCTGAAGGACACTCTGTGAGGACTTCAAGGGTCTGCAGTGGGACTGGGCCCCTGTTGACCAGAGTGGTAACTGCTCATGGGCACACCCCTGTTGTCTCTGCTCACTTATCTGTCTCTGTTCCTTACTCCTTGACCATGCCTCATGGGATGACCTCCAGACCCGCTATGTGCTTCCTAATTCTCATGTCAGTCCCTGCTTCAACCTCCTCCCAAGCGGCTAAGGACCTTGTGCAAATCAGTGACTGTGTCAAGTTTTGACTCCCTCAAGGATAAATGTCAAGGCCACAGGGAGTGCCAAATTTCATTACCCTAGTCCAAATCCACCTGAACTCTTCCTGCCAATTGGAACTTTTTTTTCTTCACAACTGAGGTATTTTGACATTCTGGCAGCTTTCCATTAAAACAGAAGAAGAAGGTGAAGAAAAAGGATCAGCAGCAGCAGAGGAAGAGGAAGAAAAAAAAGACAGGAGGAGGAGGAGAAAAGACAGTAAGAGGAGGAGGAAGGGGAGGAAAGGAAAAAATGTGTTTTTCATCAATGATCCTCCCATGTCTGTACAGATACTTAAAAACAAAATTAACTTAGATTTATCACTAAGCCTCCTGATGACCTGCATTTATCTCATTTAGATACTAACACAAAATAATGCATCAAACATTCTATAGGCTCAAAGGGAGCTGTTGACTTCTTCCAAATCCCTAATAGTTCTCATTTGGAGGGGGAGGATCACACTATCTATGCTCTTATCCCTCAGTGAGTCAGTTTTGTTGAGAAGAGGAAGACAGGCGTGAGGTCACTCTAGCCTGTTTGAATCCACACTCGATAGGCTGAGTTCTAGGACTGTAAGGCTTCGAGGAGGAAAGTACCAAGTCCCTCAGAGGGCGGAGTGAGGTTGGGGGCTGGTCTTCAAAGGATGTTTTCTTTCTTCCTCTTGGCTTCCGGGGCACAATGAGGATTTGCTGGATGGCAGGTTGGGAGAGCAGCATCGTGAGGATGAGAGGACAAAGCAGATAGAAAGGGTGGCCTTCCCCGTCTCGACTCTGGGTTATGTAACCCTCAGCAGAGTAGAGAGCTGGTTTCAGCCATACAGTAAGACGAGCAATTTGTCCTCAACCCCACCATCACGTTTAGCATAGCAGAGAGTGCTAGGGAAAGGAGCTTCAGTCCGGAGTTGGCAGACCAGTTTTTGCTCCATTGCGGACTACCTGCGGCCCTCGGAAAGTCATACTCCTTCCCTCTGCCAAGCTCTACATATTTCTATGTGTCACGGAGGGTGGTGGGAGCAGGACTTAGGATCTTTATGGATATTTATGGACTTTATGGATATTTATAATTATGTATAATGCAATATTGAGTAAGAAAAGAAAAAAATATGCACAAATGTATAATCATTATAAACATATGTCAGGATTAATTATAATTTGTACCTGTTTTTGAAGAAGAACAATTCCCCACGAACTTTGGTCACAGCATCAAATGTTATCCTGTAATCACAGGGTCGTGGGGTTTGTAGCACTGGGGCCAGCTGCAGTTTATTAGATGGCCCTTAAAAAATAAACAAAGATCCTGAAGTTAATGAGGTTTTACATACTACATTGACCCAAAAATATATATGATGAAGAGTCTTTCAAGGACCCAGGTCATTGCCTTTATATTTGGAGCACACATATAGTTCACAAGCATTTGTCTGGTTCGCCCAACTTCACTTACCATAGATGGCCTGGATGCCCTCGATGTCATCCTGAGACAGATAAACTTCACCAGTGTGGATGTAGTTTGGGTACATCAAAGCCCGCATGTTAGTAGAATGAGAAAGTCCAAAGGAATGGCCCAATTCATGTGCCAAAACCCAATACAAGTTGTAATCTAAAAGGCAACAGAATCGGTCAGTCTTTAGCAGATGGCAGTACAGTATTCAGGCCTCAAAGAGCAAATATATCTCCAAACCACATAAGAATTCCACTGTGGTTTGGTTTATGACATGGTCTGAGATGTGTGTGTGTGTGTATAATCATAAAAGAAGAATTAATTAATACTAGAAAGACTTCAAGTCTAAATTTCTAGAATTGAACTGATAAAATGTAAGGGAAAAAATTAGCTGACATGCAAAATTTTAATATTGATTAGTAAGTCCGGCAATAAATAAATTGGAAAAAAGATTACATAGAGAAACAACAACAATCTATTAATGTTTATGACTTTAATCTAACTATAGATTCTAAATAAACTAATATAGATTCAAAACAAAAATTTGGATAACCATGTACCAAAACACGTACTCTCCAAAGCAACTCCACCAAAAGTTACCATTATTTAAATCTGGTACATATTTGTACACATACAAAATATCATTTATAACCTTAGAATATTTTAAAATTTCATAAACATATTTTACCCTTAAGATGCAACCACTGGTAGAAACAGTATCCTCAGACCTTATCACTAACTGTAACTATAGTGTTGCAATATCTTTCTGAACCACCATTAGAAAGCATATCTTTATTAAAGCATTTAACTATCATCATAATATTGGTTTATTCTTTTATACAAAACAGAACATATTGCATTAAGCCACAAAAAGGGAAAATAAAAATAGGGAGGGAGAATTCCTGACTCACCATTCAAATCTTTGGTCCATGTTTCCTCTTCATCAAGATGAACATCTCCTCCAATACCTATTCCTGGTTGGAACGCATGAGCGAGTATGCCCCCAGGTCCATCAAAGGGATAGTTCTGTGATGATCTGTGAGGGACAAAGCATAGCAAAGATAAATCTCCTCTTCTATTTAGACTTCCCTACCAGAGACGAGAGAGCAAGGACAAGGAGCCAAAAGGCATTGTTCACCTGTGAGGGGTCCCTTCTTTAGCCCATAAAATTAGCACCCTCAAATAAGGGGAAATTCTGACCAGAATGCTGAGCATGTCTGAAGGGGGTGTGAGACGAGGTTCAGAATGGTTTGGGGAGGAAAGAGCTCACCTCCCCTGACAGAGGATATCATTATGTCCGCTTGCCCCTCAGAGACCTTGGTGAAGGTCAGGGGTGAGCACTGCTCCAGAGCTGAAAGGCCTTCTCAACAGCCTGCTCCATGTCTGCTCTCGACAGGTCTGGGGTGTAATTTTCAACCCTTCACATGAAAGAAAGCACAGACACGTCAGAGCTCATTTCTCATGGCTCTGGTGGGAAACAGTGTCCCCTCTTTGGGCTCCGTCTAATTACCTGTAGGTCAGGTGTGTGCTCTGCCAACGAGGGTTCCCTGGAGTGAGTTCATCCTGGGATGAAACATCAGGCACTCCACATCTGGGCTTCCTCACAATATCCAGGGTGTCAGCATCTATCTTTCCAGTCACTTTTAGCCCAAAGAATTCCTGCATTTGCTTTAATTTTTCAATCATTGAACTGTGGTTTCTCTGCCTTTTGAATTGGCTGGTTCCAACCTCCAAGCCATAATAGTTTTGTAGGTATTTCTGATAAATAAAAAAAAATTCAAACAGAAGATATGAAATCTTTCTTATTTCTCTGAAAATTCCTAGCATTTCACTGTAGTGACAGAATAGTTCTTTTACCTTAAAGATTTAGTGTCAAGAGGGGAAAAATAAACCTGCTTCTGCAATGAATTTCTGTCAGCTTAATTTCACAGCCTTCCTTTTGCTTACTGTTGGTACAGAAATGTCAGTGCAGTGGCAGAAACTATGCTATTGCTAGGTCTAAAGAATTTCAATTAGAAGTCAGAATTACAATTAGAAAAACCAGTCTGCATGCTTTTCTTTGGCTTTCTCTTTCTCTATATTCCAAAAATGTCTACAGAGAGATTTTATTGTTCAGTTGCTAAGTCATGTCTGCCTCTTTGCACACCAGGCTTCCCTTGTCTTTCAGTATCTCCAGAGTTGGTTCAAACTCAGGTCCACCGAGTCGGTGCTGCCATCCAACCATGTCATCCTCTGTTGCCCCCTTCTGCTCCTGCCCTCAATCTAAGTAGATTGTTGTTTTTGTATGAGGGAATCTGTTTCTGACAAAATGGTTATCCCAGAATGAATCCCAGACTTCCATGAACTCCTATCCCTTGACCCTGGAAAAATGAGAAGGTAGGTCTTGCATTTCTGGCACGTGAAAGTCAGCATTTTCCTAGACCATCTCCATGTCTTGCTCTTGTGTTTCTGAAGTGGCTGGAAACCCATGAGACCCCAGGCCCCCGACCAGCAGCAGCAGCAGGCGAAGGCGGGGCATGCTGGCCTCTCCTTTTCTTCTGAGCTGAAGGAAACCAGGGGCTCCCTGCCTCTGCTGTCCTGGGGTTTCAGACTGCAGGCTCTGCCTTTTTGTAGGGTCCTTGCACCCCCACAAAACCAAAAGCTATCTGACCCCCATCAGACCACATCCTTCTAATTTACAATGTGTGGTCTCACCATTAAAACGTTGTGACATAAAACAGATTAATCTTTTCTGTTGGTTTGTTTTCACAATCTCAAGATCATGATCACACAGGGGAACAAAGAGATACACTCTACCTAACACACAACATCCTGTTATTGAGTCTATGTTGTCTTAAAAAAGACCCTTACTTTCTGCACCGTAGCTCACAGAGCACTCTGGGCTTTTAAAAATATTGGCCTTCACTACTTAGTTTTGCTGGTCCTAACCTGCTCCTGGGTTCTGTGTGCTCTTACTCCCCAGAGTGCAGGAAGACTGGCTGGTGATACGTGAAATGCTCCTGCCCTTCCACCGCTCAGAACAGAGAGCTGGCTCCTAGAATCACCAGCTTTTCCATTTCCCAAAGATTTCCTTCTGCTTTTTAAAGCTTCTCTGTATGATTTATTTTTCTAGCAGTCAGACATTGCCTAACTAGCAAATCAGCTTCAAGTAGGCAATAGTATGACAAAGTCATTACTAAAGACTGAACAAAGAGTAAACTTGGACATTTTAGGAAGCAGTGAGCTAAAATGGACTGGAATGGGAGAATTTAACTCAGATGACAATTACATCTACTACTGTGTGAAGAAGAATCCCTTGGAAGAAACAGAGTAGCCCTCACAGTCAAAAAAAGAGTCTGAAATGCAGTACTTGGGTGCCGTCTCAAAAATCACAGAATGATCTCTGTTCATTCCCAAACAAACCACTCAATATCACGGTAATCCAAGTCTATGCCCCAATCAGTAATGCTGAGGAAGCTGAAGTAGAATAGTTCTACAAACACCTACAAGACCTTCTAGAACTAACACCCAAAAAAGATGTCTTTTTCATCATAGGGGACTGGAATGCAAAAGTAGGAAGTCAAGAGAACCTAAAGTAACAGGCAAGTTTGGCCTTGGAGTACAGAATGAAGCAGGGCAAAGAGTAACAGTTTGGCAAAGAAAACACACTGGTCATAGCAAACACCCTCTTCCAACAACACAAGAGAAGACTCTACACATGGACATCACCAGATGGTCAACACCGAAATCAGATTGATTATATTCTTTGCAGCCAAAGGTGGAAAAGCTATATACAGTCAGCAAAAACAAGACTGGGAGCTGACTGTGGCTCGGATCATGAACTCCGTTATTGCCAAATTCAGACTTAAATTGAAGAAAGTAGAGAGGACCACTAGACCATTCAGATATGACCTAAATCAAATCCCTTACCATTATACAGTGGAAGTGAGAAATAGATTCAAGGGATTAGATCTGATAGACAGAGTACATGATGAACTATGGATGGAGGTTCATGACATTGTACAGGAGACAGGGATCAACACCATCCCCATGGAAAAGAAATGCAAAAAGGCAAAATGGTTGTCTGAGGAGGCCTTACAAATAGCTGAGAAAAGAAGTGAAGCTAAAGGCAAAGGAGAAAAGGAAAGATATACCCACCTGAATGCAGAGTTCCAAAGAATAGCAGGGAGAGACAAGAAAGACTTCCTCAGCAATCAATGCAAAGAAATAGAGGAAAAGAATAGAATGGGAAAGACTAGAGATCTCTTCAGGACAATTAGAAATACCAATGGAAAATTTCATGCCAAGATGAGCACAATAAAGGACAGAAATGGTATGGACCTAACAGAAGCAGAAGATATTAAGAAGAGGTGGCAAGAACACACAGATGAACTGTACAAAAGAGATCTTTATGACCCAGATAATGACAATAGTGTGATCATTCACCTAGAGCCAGACATCCCGGAGTCTGAAGTCAGGCGGGCCTTAGAAGGCATCACTAGTGGGGGTGATGGAATCCAGCTGAACTATTTCAAATCCTAAAAAATGATGTTGTTAAAGTGCTGCACTCAATATGCCAGCAAATCTGGAAAACTCAGCAGTAGCCCCAGGACTGGAAAAGGTCAGTTTTCATTCCAATCCCAAAGAAAGGCAATGCCAAAGAATGTTCAAACTACTGCCCAATTGCACTCATCTCACATACTAGCAAAGTAATGCTCAAAATTCTCTGAACCAGGCCTCAACAGTACATGAACCATGAACTTCCTGATGTTCAAGTGGATTTAGAAAAGGCAGAAGAATGAGAGATCAAATTGCCAACATTCGCTGGATCATCAAAAAAGCAAGAGAGTTCCAGAAAAACATCTACTTCTGCTTTATTGACTATGCCAAAGCTTTTGACTGTGTGGATCACAACAAACTGTGGAAAATTCTTCAAGAGATGGAAATACCAGACCATCTGACCTGCCCTCATGAGAAATCTATATGCAGGTCAAAAAGCAACAGTTAGAACTGGATATGGAATCACAGACTGGTTCCAAATTGGGAAAGGAGTATGTTAAGAATGTATTTTGTCACTCTGCTTATTTAACTTATATGCAGAGTACATCATGGGAAATGCTGGGCTGGATGAATCACAAGCTGGAATCAAGATTGCAAGGAGAAATATCAATAACCTCAGATATGCAGATGACACCACCCATGTGGCAGAAAGTGAAGAGGAACTAAAGAGCCTCTTGATGAAAGTAAAAGAGGAGAGTGAAAAAGCTGACTTAAAATTCAACATTCAAAAAACTAAGATCATGGCATCTGATCCCATCACTTCATGGCAAATAGATGGGGAAACAATGGAAACAGTGGCAGACTTTATTTTCTTGGTCTCCAAAAATCACTGCAGATGGTGACTGCAGCCATGAAATGAAAAGATGCTTACTCCTTGGAAGAAAAACTATGATCAACCTAGACAGCATATTAAAAAGCAGAGACATTATTCTGCCAACAAAGGTCCGTCTAGTCAAAGCTATGGTTTTTCCAGTACTCATGTATGGATGTGAGAGTTGGACTAAGAAGAAAACTGAGTGCTGAAAAATCGATGCTTTTGAATTGTGGTGTAGGAGAAGACTCTTAAGAGTCTCTTGATCTGCAAGGAGATTAAATTAGTCAATTCTAAAGGAAATCAGTCCTGAATATTCATTGGAAGGACGGATGTTGAATCTGAAACTCCAGTACTTTGGCCACCTGATGCGAGGAGCTGACTCATTGGTAAAAACCCTGATGCTGGGAAAGACGGAAGGCAGGAGGAGAAGGGGATGACAGAGGATGAGATGGTTGGATGGCATCACTGACTCAATGAACATGAGTCTGAGAAAGCTCCAGGAGTTGGTGATGGACAGGGAAGCCTGGCATGCTGCAGTTCATGGGTCACAAAAAGTTGGACATGATTCAGCAACTGGACTGAAATGAGTGATTAAGGCAGCCTGTCCCAAGTGTCAGGGGTTAGGTAATTTATCATTAAATCTCAATCTTGCTTAATCTAGTTCCGGGATGAAGATGACCCGTGAAAATGGCCGAGTGGGGTCCCAGGTAGAACCATGTTAGGAAGGCCTGCTCTGAGTTTCACCTTTCTACCATACTGCTCCTGGATGACTGGACACATTTAACACACGGGACTGGGCTACAGTTAATTATTCTTTTACACACGCATTTCTTCATTCAAAAGATACCTACTTAATATCCTCAGTGTTCCAGAAACTAAATGGGGAAAGAAGAAATGGGTCAGAACATTTTCCACAGTACCTTGAGTTTGTGCTGTGAGGTTTGTACAAAGTGCTACAATTGCCCAGAAGACACATTCTAGTTCCCCTGGAAGACTCGGACAAGGGGAGAGAAAGAGTTAGCCTGGCTCTGTGGTTTCTGACCTTCATTACCTTTCATTCCTCCTCCTGGAGGTTTGTTTGACCTACATGCCCCTGTTTAACTTCTTTCTTAAATGCAATTGATTCAAAACATCACCTCATCCTTGGCAATGATATCCATGGAAACATCATTAGTATTTTTTTAATTAATTCATTTATTTTAATTGGAGGATAATTACTTTACAATATTGTAGTGGTTTTTGCCATACATGGACATGAATCAGCCATGGGTTCATATTCAATATTATCCCTGTCCTACATACAAGCATTTGTGCCTGCTGTGGTTTGCTTTCCACCTTGAGGAAAACCTGAGGGCCTCTCCTCCCTTCCCAGCAATCTGGCCTCCTCCTCTGAGAGCATGAAGTTGACAGGCAAAGCGGAGGGGAGCCTTCATGCTGTATCCTTCCTGTTTCTCCTCTTCAGCAAACGTCTCTCCTCTTTCCTTCCAAGTTCATTTCATTTCACATTGTTCCATGGACTTTACAAATCTCTGCTCTCACACCAGTGAGCCCCACGTCATTTGTGCACAGTAGGGATGCTCGTGGGGGCTTCCTGTGCTTAATGGGTAAGAATTCATTTGGCTTCCTCTCGATTCAGTGTTTAACCACAACTTCCTCATCTCAGTGGAGCATTACATGAGAGAAAACAGAAAAGGGGAAATGAATGAATTTCTCAGGAGGAATCCCCCTTTCTCACAGGACTCCCAATGGTTCCAGTCGCAGGAGACATCAGGAAAGGAGGATTTTCTATGACAGGTGGCAGGCAGGCCACCTTCCCAGCCAAGGAGAGAGAGTATGTGTGCTGTGAGAGGAGGGACTTCAGTTCTTCTGGTGCCTCCAGACAGGATTTCCAGTCTAACTCCACAGCCACACTGCTAGGAATGGGGACCCCTCCTGAGCTCAGGAAACCATGATTGTAGTTTAATAAAGACACACAATAAGAAATCTAGCAGTTATTCAGTATAGTGCTTGGCAACTGGTTTTCTTAATTGCTCTATGTTTTGCCCAAGCAAAGTCCTTTGTATATAACCCCCACAAAGATGAAATTCAAACCATTTTACTGACTGAAGTGGGGTGGAGGGTGGCATTTTTAGTCCTCCACCTCT